TAGAGCTCACGATTTATAGTTGCACCTAGGGAACAAGATCCTAGGATCAAACCCCTCTTTAATGACAATTATGAGGGCTATTGAAAAATGCATAACGGTAGGCAGTGAATGCCATATTTTTCGTAATGGAACATGCACTTAATGATATAGAATATTCTTCATTAAATGCTACCGGGTGGCAGGCATATATTTTGTCTTTATGAATATCATTTTCTCCGATAACAAGCGAGATCATTGCCTCCGAGCCGACTATCTTCTGTCTTCGGCTCCACGTGTCACTTTTCATGCGATCATTAAATATGAACATATTTTACCCTATACACTGTTATTTCCTACCAACTCTCGAGACGGATCACCCTATTTCTTATTATTCCATTAGTAAAATATAAGCTGAGAAAGAAAAAGGAAAAAAGGTAAAATCAAAAGACAACTAAATATAGACCCTTGATGAGAATAAGCTCCAACGGGGGACCAAGCGACGAGTTGACCAAAAATCCACCTCTAATATATTTTTTGTAACTTTGAATATAACAGCCCTTAATTTATAAAATATCTTTATGATGATAGAAATTAATTTTAACCTGACAAATAATGATAACTAACTTGTTATAATAGGTCAAGCTACATTAATATAATATAAATAATTTACGTTTTGAAGATTTACATTTTAGATTGTAGATTTGCTTAAAAATTCAAAACTCAAACTCAAGTGCCGCTTAGTTGTTTGTCGTTTCACCTTCTCATTTCAATCAATGATTTGTTTAGGAACGTCCAAAAAGAAGAAGAAAAACTAGGACACGTCAAATGTTGAGAAAAAGAGAAAAATGTAAATTACTCATCTACTTTTGATCAAGAAAGAACAAATTATTTCTTGAAACCTAGTAGCTTACATATAGCCTTTGCCTTGCGTAAAGAAGCAGTTCACGGCTAATTACTAAAATTTCAAAGATATATTCTTTAAAATTTGATAGTCCTAAAAAGTGTACTTTTGTCTTTGCATACACTTTCTTCTCATAATTAGAATCATGTGATAGAGAAGAAAAGAACAATGGCTGAGTTTTATGGTTCAAATTCTAACAGCATTTTTTTGGGGAGAAAATTCGCAATTCTTGACTCATTTTCAAAGAAACTAGAGCCATACATTAAAACCTCTGTATGATGTGATTTTAATGGACTCAAATACAATGATTAACAAGTGATATGATGAGATCTCTTTGGTAATTTTCTAATAACGGTACAGCTATTACATCGAGTATATATTATTTCCTATTAGCATATATATCAAATATGTTTTTGTCTTATACTAAAATTTAAACACAAACCAAATATTGTAATCATAGTCGACTACCACATACAGAACTAGCACTTGTACAAGATAAGATGATTGCTAGATGTTATTATCAAGCAAAAATTGAGGAAACTAAATTAATTTTGAAGATTAATACAGAAAGTGCACATAAAAAAGTGGAGACAACTTTTTCTTTTTCTTGACCATATATGCCAGTATGTCATTTTCTTATTTCTTTTAGGGGTGGGGTGGGGGTGGTGGAGGGACTAATGGTAGGCCGTAGGCAAAGTCATCGCAATTACACTGCTTGCTTTTCACATTATATATTCTATGTTCTTATCTTAATTACACTGCTTGCTTTTTTGTTGACAAAAGAGTAAACATCATTTCTTTCCAAGGTGGCGAGTTTCATTTTCTATTTTCAGAATTCAATTAAAAAAATTCTATATTTCCATTCTATCCTAGGCAAAGTCATCGCAATTACACTGCTTGCTTTTCACATTATATATTCTATGTTCTTATCTTAATTAGCATGTTTATCTTATATTCTTGTCGGGTAAGGGATAGAGCTAGAGTATTAGGCTTAGATTCAGACGAACTCAATAACTTTTGCTTAGATTTTGTGTTTATATTAGCAATTTTATTAAATATGTTAAATATTAAATTATGAACCTAGTAATTAAAACGAGCTAAGAATTTTATGACAGGTTCATAATATATAAACATAAAATTCTATCTTACAAATCATGATCACATCTTTGACATTAGTGGCGGAGCCACCTTATACGAAGGGGTGTCAAATGACACCCCTTCGCGGGAAAAATATACGGTGTAGCTAGATAAAAAAAAATAAATTATATGTAAATATACTATGTATTGACTCCCTTTAATTTCCTGGTATATTTACTTTTTATATATTTTGTCACCCATCAACGAAAATTCTGGCTCCGTCACTATTTCACATTGCATTGCGACATCTCTTATATAGAAAACTTGTGATTTGCTTAGCTCAACGCAAGATTACTTCTTTCCTAGTAGTTTCAGTGCGCTTTAAATTACATCTTGAAGTCCAAAAGATTAGGAAAAAGAATTAATAGATCCTTTGATTTCGAAACATTGTGCTTAGTTTGATATGTTACAGCTTTTGCACCAGCCCCTTCCCTTTACACAGAAAAATTACAATCAGTATTTGGAAGTTAAATTCAAAAAGAAGATTTAATTCATATAAATAATTTCTAAACTATCAATGTATTTTAACTTGTTGTATTAGACAATCTGCTTTATTTTCTAGGTTACTAATGTCACTATTTATGATAATACTAGTGCATAGCAGTTAAACTCAAACATAAATTATATAAAAAGATTTTTTGTGCTGCAATTATTTTAACCCAAGAAAATGTCGGGAAGAAAATTCTAAATTAAACGCGCTCAAGTCTTACGTTATTGAAGCAAATTTAGCACGTACGTCATGCTTATACCTATTTTTTGCAACTTGCATTTTATATATTTATAATTATATGTGCAAAAATAATATAAGGTTTATGTGATAATACAGAAGACAGTAAAATTCGATGAATCAACTATGAAAGGAGGGTTGTGACGTATTGGCCGAAATTGGAGTGAAATTTTTCTACAGCATTGCATCATCGATCTAGAAATAATGACTCATATATATCCTTGGAGTCTTTTTTTTGGTTTGCACTCCGTGAATGGTACTAGCATTAGGGCCGAACTAAATTCGAATTCGTGCCGGAAAGTTCTACATTATTGGGTAAATCACTCTCTAACAAAGACAACTTCATATCCAGATCAGTTCAAATTTGAGACCTCTGATTAAGAACGAAAGAGTACTTACCACTTTATCACGACCTTGTTGGTATATCCTTTGGTTTTTACAAGGCGTGTGGAAACACAATACGTCACTTTCTCTCTCAATTCCCATAAAATTTCTCTTAATATCATTTGGGAAATAGGAAAAAAAAAAAAAAAAAAAAAAGGTACTTGGTCTTATGCTGTTTTATGCCTTGGTCGACATAAAACAAGTATAGTTTATGAAAGTTGGATGGTTTTGAGAACCATGTCTCATAAAAAATCTTCAGAAACTAGTCACTAATGGTAGTAGTAAATGAATTCAACGTATACACAGGATAAATGTTAGACCAAAGTCTAAATTTTTTTAAGTTATTGTAAATATTACATCACAATCTAATATTGTAATAATAAACTGAAAACTATATGAGCAAACATTAAACGCGAGTCTAACATTGTGGAAGGCATAATTTTCCAATGACAATATTTGCACAACTTTTAAAATGGAGAAAAAATCTAAACAATAGCCTAAAAAGGTAAAAATTTCACGTGGCGCGTTATTTGCTCGCCTCCATTTAACGTGAAAATAGCACGGGCTAGTCAGTTTTCGGACTGATAATTAAAAAATAGCTAGCGTTTATAAAGTCATTAAAAAATAGCCACTATTTTGCTGCAACACGGAAAGTTCTAGCATAACATACTGGAGATTGGTGCACCTGTGTATGAACTTCCAGCATATTATGCTAGAACTCCAGCACACGAAAAGTTCCAGCATAATATACTAGAGATTGGAGCACATGTGTATGAACTTCCAGCATATTATGCTGGACCAATATATTACGCTGGAACTCTAGTATATTATGCTGGAACTCCATATAATATGTTGAAAGTTCACATGTAAAAAATTCGAACTCCAGTATATTATGCTGGAATATTTTTCGGATTTTGAACAGTGTTTTCGTTCAGATTTATCTTTACAGGAAAAGTGGCTAAAATTCGATTACTTTTGAAACTGTTGCTATTTTTCAATTACCACTCGAAAATCTGGCAATTTTTGAATTTCACCCCATTTAATTTATATCCATTTTTTTAAGAAAGGTTTAACTAGTACCCAAAGTATAGATAACTTCAGACATTTTTCTCCTCCTCTTTCTTCTTCTTCGTTGTTGTGAAAACAAATGTGACAGTGAATTTATATGGTGTTTGTGAGCAAGTTTTAAGGTGGTCTATGATGTTTTATAATTTCTTTTTCTTCTTCTTCTTCTTTGCCGTAAAAACAAAGGTAACAGTGGATTTACATGGTGTTTGCATTGTGAGAAAGTTTCAAGAGTTTATGATATTTTAGGGTTTCTTTTTCTTTTTTCTCTTAGTTGTAAAATGAGTTTGTTAGATTATTGTTATTTTGACAAATTGATGATTGAGGTTTGTTTTTTATGATATTTGAAAGTTATATTTCAAATTTGAGCTTATTTTGGAGTAGATTTGGGTGTTGAATCGTGTGTTTGATTGTTAAAATTCGAAGAACAAGTTTTTATTTTTGGGTAATTTGCACTTCAGAAAAAAAAGTCTTAAGTGCATGCAAAAATTAACTGCACTTCAGACCAATTAAGTCTTAAATGCATGCAAATATTACCCGCACTTTAGACTAAAATAGTCTTAAGTGCATCTTAAATTTTCAACTTCAGACGCAAATTTTTCCAACTTCATGCCCGCTAAGTCTGAATTTGATCCTAAAGCGGGTAAACTTATAAAGTTTTGTGCAATATGGATATAACTTCAATGGTGACGCTAAAACTAGGTATATATGTAAATCCTCCCCCCTAAAAAGGACATTTGCGTAAATTAACCGACAAAAAAAAAAACTTAGAGCCCATTTTAAAGTCTATAAATACAAAACCAGAAAAATCAAACCGAACAAAATTATTCAAGCTCAACGTTTGGATTACATTCTTACAAATGGTAAATTCTTACACACTTTTTATAACATGAATGGCTAATCTAAAAGAATATTTTATTTTTGCTGGTATTATATTTTAAAGGTTTCTTTTGGGCTTTCTAAATTTTTGGAAACTTGGGCCTCACTAATATCAAAAGGACAAAAACTATTAATAGGAGGATTAGTGAATGGGCCTTCCAATAAACTTTTTGTCATCCATTTATAAGCAGCCTCTGTCAAGTGATAACCATCCCAATTAATATACTGGTTAGGATCCTCACAACTTGTTGCTGGATAATTGCCACATTGAGCAAACGGATTAAAATTATATGGACCTCCACCTCCACAACATGTTACAAGTCCACCCTTCAAAAATCCTGCAATATACGCGTTAAAACTTAGTCGCTTTAGGGATTTACATCAAACAAATAGATATTTGACATACATTTGGACATAATGTCTCTTACTTAATTATGGTACTACATGAAGGTAGTATGTTAGCAATGTATCCATTTTGTCTTTTCTTTAAATAATATGATGTTTCCCACTAGTTCTACGACCGATTAGAATGCAATGATTGTGTAAGCAAATATTTGTATTAAAGGACAGCTCAGTGAACGAAACATTTTGTATTCACGCAAAGTTCAGGGAAGGATCGCACTCCAAGGAGTGTGACGTAGGCAGCCTACCTTGATTCAAGCATCAGTCACTGATTCCACGGCTCGAATTCGTGACCTATAAGTCATACGGGGATAACTTTATCGTTTGCTCCAAGACTCCCCTTCTAAGAAAATATTTGTATTAAAGGGCAGTCCAGTGCACGAAATATCCCGTAATTCATGCAGAGTTCGGGGAAGGGCCGCATCCCAATGGGTGTGATGTAGACAGCTTACCCTGTTGCAAGCATCAGTGGCTGATTTCATAACTCGAACACGTGACCTATAGGTCACACAGAGACAACTTTATCGTTGCTCCAAGACTCCCTTTCTAAGCAACTATTTGTATTAAAGGGCAGTCCAGTGCACGAAATATCCCGCAATTAATGCAGGGTTCAGGGAAACGCCGAACCCCGAGGGGTGTGATGTAGGCAGTCTACCCTGATACAAGTATTAGTGGCTGATTCCACGACTCGAACCCGTGACCTATAGGTCACACAGAGACAACTTTATCGTTGCTCCAAAACTCCCCTTCTAAGCAAATATATATAATGTCACCGAATATAAGTTAAATCCAAGTAAAATTACCGTATTTGCTAGGAGCGCGATAGAGTTGCATTGCAGCATTGTAATAATCAGCATAGATAATATTAACATGGGGATGGATCTCTCTAAGACGATGCAATTCCCTTTGAAGAAGTTGATTATGATGGGTAGCAAAGTGATTAGGCCAAATGAGACAACCCAATTCATCATAATCTTCTTCATTCCAGCTCTGGTAATATGTCAAATAAGATGAGGTACATCCAAGAGGTAACACACTTGGCACCATTATTGTTTTTGCCCCAAGCTCCACTAGTTCCTGCATTCAATATAATACGGGATTATTACACAGATAGCCAGCCAGTATAAGTTATACACTTGTTATATACACATATTAATTTTGTTATAAAGTATGAAGGCGATGGGAGATTGAGGTTTTTTTTTTTTTTGGGGGGGG